GAATTACACTTATCTCCATTTTGCCTTTTTAACTTCCCATAAGCATGCTAAGTACTTCTTCAGAATGCACTGACCTCTAATGATTTCTTGCTTTATGTATTCCTTAGCCCACATTGCGTAAGTAAAAAAATGTTCCTATTGGTGAACAGTGCAGAATAATACAGCCTGATTTTGTTTTATTATTTTGTGTACAGAATGAAATTTTAACACCTTTGGGTCCTCCAAAAATCAAAATTCCAGGTGCAGTGACTGAATTTCATGCTGTGAAGTGACACTGATGAAACTGTTTTTAAGTAATAGACCAGATTCACTGTTGCAGTAGAGTGAAAAAAAAAGATTTCATCATTCAAACTTTTGACTGTTAGGCTACCAAGTTGCAAAAATTGTAGTCATGCCATAAGCTGTAGTCTGAGGTCTTTGTGAAGTCACAAGTTACTCTGTGTTTGTGGGATTTGTGCAGTGGAACCTGTACATTAACACACCTGCATTAACAACATTAATGTTTTTCTGAAGTCAAAGCATGACTAGTAGAAAGGCTGGCTTTATGCTTGAATGAGATCTTTTCACTGGAGGAATTTTCAGGCTGGCAGAAATAGTATTATAATAATTGCCAGCTGCTCACTTGGCACAAGAGTGCCTAGAACCAAGAGGAAGAGCCCGGTGCATTATACATATAATGTACTTTTCTCTAAGAGGTGAAAGTTTAGAACTCATAAATATTTTGATATTTGATGGCTTTGTACACATCATGCATGTGGAACATAACTTGCGGATTTTAGTTTGGAGTACATTGGAGTAATTCCCCCCAGGATAGGAAGAGAAATTATTATGGGAGATTCTTATGTGAGTGGGTGGTCAAGAACGAAGGAAAACCTTTAACATAAAGCAGATGGACCTCTCTTATTTTACACTGTGTATTGGGATGCAAGATAATAATCTCCCAAAGTATACGATAGTATCGATCTGATCTTCACATCAAAGGAATAAGGTTCAAAATATTATTTGTGAGGTAGAAACTCAGGAATTGAAATCAGACCTTTTTTGTATCCTTAACTCTGTGCATGCCCACTACTGTCAGGGCAATGACATGGAAGAAATTAGGTCCAGAAGAGTACACAAAAGCAATTGTTGTACCTTTCTCCACATGTAAACTCACACAGGTGCAAGCCACAGAACACTTCTTGACTCAGAGTGTTGCTTTTCTCTTTGGTATTTAAAATTGACTTCAAAAACTACAGTGTACCAGAGGAGAAACCAGGGAAGACTACAGGCATTTTAATGTCTTTGTTTCTAAATCCTCGAGTCATATCTAGAAACAGACCCTACAGGGCTAGGAAGTAGATGGGAAGACATGGTGATCTCTGCTGGTCTGATTTTGAGAGAGAAATTTTGCTCTGATCCGGTAGCCAGCTTGACTGTAAGTTTCTCAGCAATAAACACCAACATACCCAAGAAAGATAGTACCAGTAGGTGCTATTTTGCATCCGCAGGATGCAAGCTCCTTGCATTTCTATGTTTAATTTCTTATGTTGGACAGTCTCCAGTGAAGTTACAGAAAACCGGAATTCAGGCCACTTCACCTGCATCCATGAGGGAAGGGGAAAATTCTCCTTGTAATGAAGACATCCTGGTGCATACATGGGAGTATAAGATGGGAAATTCAGAGCTCTGAACTCTAAAGGAGTATGTGATTTAAAGCATGTTGTTCAATTTGCTTCATGGTTCTTTATTTAAATAAAATAGTAATGCCATCTTTCTTGGTAGGATTTCTCTGTCTTAAACAGATTCTTGATAGAAGGAGCTGTCTTATTCCAAGTCCCATGTAGCAGTCAACTAATGAGTCTCTGATGGTATAATGTAAACAAATGCTTCTTTACTATAACAAAGCATTGTTTTAGTGATACTTTTTTATGAGATTTGTGTCAAGCCTGATCTATTTCAAATGAATGGGGAAGCAACTCTGATTGAAAGCAACTGCAAAACCCAACTTGCTACATAAATTCCAAGCTTTTGGCTGGGAGTTCCCACAACTAGGGGTTGCAGTTCACTCTAAATCATGTTTGAGATGTGGACAAGACAGTAAAGGAATGAAAAAAAAGGAAGAAAGGTAGACAGATGACACAGTGTAGAACTCTAGGTGTAACTGTAAGGAAGATGTCATTCTCTGTTCTTTCTTCCCAATGTTGTTTTTGTTGCAGTACAGGGGCAGGGGTATCCGTGTTCGTGCTTTCTTCCCACCACATATGCACAACACCTGTGGTTCATGGGAATGTGGGAGGAGGTGGTTCTTCTCTTTCCTTTATCCTTTCCATACTACTTATTCTCCCTCCCCTTCCTTCTGGATGTGCAGGGCAATGAAAGGAGGAATTTAACCAGATTTATGCTTTTTCTTTCTTATACAGCTGTATGTGTCTTGGGATATTACAATTGGATCTGTTTCTCTTGCCCTTCCACTAAAGTTCCATCATATTTTTTGGCTCCCAGGCTTGTCTGACAGAAGGATAATAATATGCATGTGATCTGTTTCTGCTTCAGGTACTTACAGATTGTGAGTGGCATTGGGGCTGGCCAGCCTCAGTTTCTTTTGTAGAGTTACTGCCTCAGTTCCTTTGAGGAACAGAAAAAGAAACTGGCATCCTTACAGGTTGAGGGTGGGAGGAGGACTTCTTTCCACCAGACAGTGGAAGGCTGCCTTTTTTTCTTGTCTGTTACTTTCCTCACAAACTTTTAGTGTAGTGCCCTATGCAAAAGAAATGTAGTTTCGTAAAATACGATCATCAAATTTATCCTGACTTGTCTCAGCAGAAGTAGCAAAACTGAGGGTGGAATTTTTCCACTATGAAGTAGTCAGTTCAGATGACAGAATAACATTAGGGAGTCCCCAGATTATGTGGTTCTCTGGGACTGTATTGTCCCATTTGATTTGACTCTTAACTAAATGGTCACTGGCCAATCTTCCTCATCAAAACCCAAACTGATACAAACAATATTGGATAAAATTAGATCAATCTAGCAGTTGAAATTCTTAAATTTAAGAGTGAACTGCTTTTGTTTGTTTGCTTAGTTAGGTTCTATATCTTCCTCATCTGTGAGGTTGCAGTGTTCTAAAATGAGCCCTACTGGGTGAGGTAAAGCTGTAAGTGTTGCACACTGATGCCTCCCAATGACCAATATAAAGCAGCACATGATGTATATTTGTAAAACTCTTCACCTCCCCCACTCATAGAACCATCATTAGATCATCTTTTTAAGTAGCTATCGAACCTATCACATAGCAGCCAGTGATTGTCTTTGTGTTAAATTCTCATTTAATGTTGCGCAGTGATTGCATATTATCGAGCAAGTGGGGACAGCTGCATCATTTTACAGTGCATGTACATGCAGCCGTAACTCTTGTATTTTTAACACAATATTCCACAGAAGCTGAAATAGAAGTTAGTGTACTTCTAATCTTAAAAGTAATAATAAAAAAATTAATGGAAACATCAAATTCTATCTACTTAAAATTCCATCTTCTGTCTTATGGTATCCAACAAAATATAGTTTGTTGTCTAAAGAGCCAGTTGTATTATTTAAAGAATGCCTTTTCATTTTAGGTATTTTCATACTTTAAAAAATAGCATTCTCTATGTGATCCTCTCTCTTGTCTTTTTCCTGTTACAACTTTATTTAGATAAGACCACCATAAAGAAATTAGTTTGTGGACACTGATTAAAAAAAACCCTAAACCAAACTAAATATCAAGGAAATTGACCTTCCAGAGATGGTGTTCATGGTTTGAGGTCAGACAGTTGATCTTTAACCCAAACTGCATAGTTTAAATTTGTGTTTTTAGCACTGGGTTTATCTGCTGATATCAGTCTTTTTTTTGTATGTTTGTATTGGTAGAACATAACAAGACTACATATATTTTGATGAACAATTGCTACCTTGTAAACTCACCACCTACCAACAGTGACTCTTATGAATATTTAATGATAATAAGTAGTAGGAACTTCACTGTGTTGCTCACATGCACTTAAAAAACCCAGCAGCACAGGAATATCTTTTATTCTGCCTTTTTTTCCTTGGAGTAAGCAGTATGATATTTATATACATGTTAAATATTAGACACATCTAACATATTCCTGTTCTTAATACCAAGAGTTCAATTTAAATCATGACTCTGCTATTTCAGGAAGGAAAGGATGTAGGATGGAAGACACAAATTTTTGACATTCGAATTTTTATTTTAAGTTGAGGCAGGGTTGACTGGCTAGTCTTATGCTTCTGGCTATGAATTAGGGGTTGAGAAAAAGGAAAAAAATACAGGTAAACCATTTTGCAGATGCAGGCATATTCTACAAAGTCTAAAATTAGTGTCTGTAAGTCAACAATTTTGTAGACCTCTCTGCGATGTCTTTGGTTTATCCACTATCACCTTACAGATCAGTAAAAGGCAGTACTTTTGTGTCATATTGGAAATTAGGCAATATCTGTCAACAGCAGGCATCACCTTTTATCATCTCTTCATCTGGTTTCTCTTTTTGTAGACATGTAATAGAGGGTCCTCACTTTATATGTTGCTTTCAGATATTTTTGTACAGAGCTGGTATTGAAAGCCACATTTCTGATTTAAACGTGTTGAATTGTGACTGTTGATTTTGTTTGCACATTTGACAACTTAGTGCTTTTATTATCCAACTTGTTTTACAGACCGTGTTTCAAAACAAAATTACTGTATCATGTTTAATTATGTATTTTTCTTTCTGAGACTTGCAAGGCCTCTACACAGCTGTATTTTTTCCTTACTAAAGCAGTGAGGACAGTAGGAACAGCTCTGACATTGATAGCTAGAGTGTTTTTTTACTTAATCTGGCATAGTAGTTATTTGAATATTTTTTTTCCTTTCTATTTAGCTCCTACATATTGAGAGAGTAAAATCCATAATTTTATTGATGCTACAATAGCATTTTTTTTTGAAAAGCAGTGCTTTTCAAAAGGGTTTGTTTTTCTTTCAGGGAATCAGTTTCCTCCTGTTGCAGCTCAGGATCTTCAGTTTGTTCTGAAGGCTGGATACTTGGAAAAACGTAGAAAAGGTAAGTCTACCTGTCTTTGTGAAAGTTAGTGCGTATTTAATTTCTGGGAAGTCTGTATGCCTGTACTTAATGTTATACACATGAATAACTTTATACAGGAGTGATAAAAAATGAGTAGAAGCTGAAATGTTGAAGCATTGTAACGCAAAAGATGCATAACATAATTGCTCCCGTAGTATTAAAAGAAAATCCTGTTTTTTTATTGACTAACAAAATCATGCTGTGAAAGTCCACTGTCAGTCATAATTCAGAGATTTTCAGATATTTTTGAAGAAAACATTAGGAACCTATGTAAAAGTACCATATGTTGACTTCATGTTTCAGTGAGTATCAAGATTTATTTTCCTTCAAGAGGGCAAATATTGATCTCAGTTTTGGTTCAGTCAATATTTACCTTGATTCAATAAATCTTATATTGTCACTTTAATACCCACTTAATGCTGCAATAACTCTAGGAAATATTTAGGAAATTTTTCATTATTTCCTTATATTTAATGTTACACATGACTTCTCTCTTTATATGATTTCAAATTCCCATTTGTTTTCTTAGCACCAATTTTTATTTCTAATTTCCTTCTCAGTGCCATACATTTCTCTTCTTCATATCCAGATTTTGTTTCCTTTCCTTAGCGTCTTTCCTGGCTCCTCTTCCCTCTTACCTCACCCTTGAAAAGTAGTAGCATATTTGTGTTCAATAATGACATAAATCGATATAACAGATTATTTTAATTTCAGATCACAGTTTTCTTGGCTTTGAATGGCAAAAGCGTTGGTGTGCTATCAGTAAGACAGTCTTCTACTATTATGGAAGTGACAAAGGTACTTATTTATTATAAAAATTATGTTTTAATGCATAAAAGAATATGAAGACTTTAGTGCAGTTGGAAAATGCAAATGAAAGGTCATTTTAGAAATGAAATGAAACTTCTAAAAGAAAGTTGTCTTCTTTTAACCAGTTCTTGGACAGTGTTGTGAATGTTCAAAATGTGTAAGTATTCTTCAGAACCTGTAAATGATGTACTTGTTTTCTGAAGCAGGGAAACTGAGGGGAAAAAAAAAAAGTAAGTTTCTTGTAAAACTACTTCGTGTGCCAGTAACAGCTGGCTTGATAGTATGATAGTATGGCACTCAACTGTTTTACTAGACAGAAAATGTTCTTTCTCTCCAAAGTATATTAATTTTAAATATTAATTTTAAAACATCCTGTAACAATTAAACCTTCTGAGTTCTTAAGAGATGGTTCTATCCAGGCAAACATTAGTCCAAAATCTGCATAGTGGAATTCCTTGTTTCTTTTTAAATAGTTCTGGAAAAACTAGAAATTAAGTAATGTATTTAACTAATAGCCAACTGTGGAAGCTAAAGCTGAGTTCTGAAGGTGGCTTTTAATGGCCAGTTTAGAAAGAATCTGGAATCTGGTATAAACATTGGGCTATCACTTTGAATTTTTAAAATGGCAGTCAAAACATCCTTTAAACTGTTTGCCATGTGTATTTGGTGTTTAAGGGTAGAGCAAAAGATACAGAAATACATCTGAGTAAATTTTAAAAGTACAACTGTCTTTCTTTTCATCCCCTCCAAAAATTCCTGGGCAAACTTTCCACTGAAGTTTTTTTTTTCTTCTTCTGTTTGTCATCTTATGTTTGAATTATTTTGTGGGGTTTTTTTCTTCAAAGAGTAATTTACTTTGCTCCAGTTTGTTTCATTCCTTAGTATGTTAACTCATTTAAACTCATCCTCTCTTTAAAAACAAAAGAAATAAAGTAAGAGTCTAAGTCCTGTTTTCACTTTGCTACCATTTTCCGTCATATTCTGTTTTCAGAGTTTTGTTAGTATATTTGTGAAATGTTCCATTTTCTTCTTTACTCTTTCCTTGGGATTTACAGATTGATCAAGCTTCAAAAACATAAATAATCTGTATTGAAAGATTTTTTGGAGGTGTGGCATAACACTGATTTGTCAGTACTGATTTATTTCTTTCACTGGAAAATTGTCATGTGCTGTTTGTTTATATATATAGTTATACATTGCCTAGTACTTTAAAAACAGCATTTTTTTTTCAGAATATATTGCTAGTTCATAAAGATTGTTCTGCATTTTAAAATCTTTGTATTTTTATCTGCAATTTTTTTAGAAAAAAAAAAGATTGCATTTTTAAAAAATATTTTCCTTGTCGCTATGCTCATTAGTTTATTTATGCTTTCTAGCATAACGACTTTGAATTAAGGCAGGAAAGTTGCCCACCTGCTCTGTTTCCTATTTTTTTTTTTCTTTTGCAACAACCTGATTATCAAGTTTGTGTTGAAACTTCTAATACCTGTGCTGAAAGTTAAGATACATGGAAGTATATTCCCTAGCACTCAAAAGATTAGTGTCATGTTAGGAATTGACTGTGATATTCTGTGGGATCTCTTTCCTTTATGAATCTATATAAAAATGTTCGGCTTACACATTTACAGCTTTTGTAGCCTGCAGGGTTTTTGGGGAAGGTTCTCCTAACCATAAAGTAAGGATCTGGGAGGGGCACATAGTCCATGGAAATTATATAGAATCATAGAATCATTTAGGTTGGAAAAGACTTCTAAGATCATTGAGTCCAAACATTAACCCAGCAGTGCCAAGCCCACCACTAAACCATGTCCCAAAGAGCCACATTTACATGTCTTTTAAACACCTCCAGGGACAGTAACTCCACCACTTCCCTGGGCAGCCTGTTCCTATATATGACAATCCTTTCAGTGAAAAAATTGTTCCTAATATCCAGTCTAAACCTGGTGCAACTTGAGGCCATTTCTTCTTGTCCTATCCCTTGTTACTTGGGAAAGAGACTGATTCTCACCTCATCACAGTGTCCTTTCAGGTAGTTGTAGAGAGCATGGCATGGGTGGACTCCTAACAGTAGTTCATGGAGGAAGCAAACAAATCAGATGCGTGAATTTCTGTCCTACCTCCATGTGACTGGTGCTGTTAGTGCAGCATGGTGTAGTGATTTAATCTTGCAGATATTGGATGCCTAAATCACTCCTGAATTTGCCTTTGAATAAAAAAGGGTTTTTTTCTAGACTGGTCAGAGGTACTTTCTTCAGCCCTTGGATGCGATCTTATATAAACGTTCCAGTGCAGAAGCAACTTGCCATCGTTGGGCACAAACTGGATACCAGCCATGAGAAAATAGTTTACTGTTGAAACTGAGCTGTCATCCTAATGGTTTTAAATGTATGTGCTGCAGTTTATTGTGCTGTTTAGCTGCAGATAGTCAGCATGGACAATGTGTGCAATGAGGCAGTCGTGAGGACGTCTGGCATTTAGTCTCTTGAAGAACCTGAAACTGTTTTCACTCCACAATTATGGCCAGCAGCGGTACCTTCCACAATACACTATTGTGTTGGGTCCTTCTTTTACTGTGAGCCTTGATGCTGTGCCAGATAACTCGGACCATGTAGAAAATAAGTGTGTGTTTTTACCAACTGTAGTTCATACCAACAGTGTCGGAAGTGTGCGTGGAAGGTGGCTTTGTGCGGATTGCTGCCACTCCTGGGATGGTGTCCATAAACAATGCTGATCTGCCCTAGCCTGTGCCGTGTCTGTGGAGGTTTCCTATAAGCTGGGCCCTGATTTCTGGCAGGTCCCAGAGCTGATTCACACAACAGGCGAATTCCCCCTTGTCAAGGTGAACCTTGTTTCAGAGTAACGGGAATTCTGTGTATACTCAGTCCTGCTGCCTGTGTCACTTTTAATGGGTGCTCCTGTGTTGTGGGATGTAAAGCTGAGAGGCAGCAGGGATTTCTAGGTCTATCTTGGCTTGTATTGACTTGTGTCTGTTTTTATAACCAGACTGATAGGTGAATAATCTGCAAAGGCTATTTTGTGTCTGGTACAGTGTGTAATTTGTTGGCCAAGGTTTGATTTTCGCACTTCAGTATCAGTGGAAATGTACCTGAGTGGTAAATGTGAGGCTATATGATGCCTTTTGTATTATTTATGTAGATTTGTTGTTTCCACAATGCTTTTAATTCTTCTAACATTCTCCTTTTTGTATTGGGAAAGCAAGGAGGAGTGTAGAAGTGTATAAAGCTCATAAACACACGTAAGGAAGAGTTTCAGGATGAATGATGAAAGATATAAGGCCTAGTCCAGGAGAATACAGTACAAGCTAAAGCCTGTGAAAATACAGTAAATTGCTGTGTGTTTGTTCACCTAAGAGACTACAAGCATTCTTTTAACAGTTGTGATGCCTGCAGGCTGGTGTATGTCTTGTTTCCCTGTTTTTTCCTCTATTTTCTCCTACATTTGGTGCAGCCTTGGGTAGTGAAACAATGTTATTTATCCATGCTTAGACAGGTCTAAGCGACTCACCTACATTTTTCCCCCTGATCAATGGTATGTGGAGTAGATGGAGGAACAAGGCTTAAAGGTTTGACCTAATCATATGTCAGGAATAGGTATTGCGGGAAGTGCATCTGTATTTGTGCCTGTGCCTCAGTATCTGTTGCTGGCTTGTAGCCCTCAGCATTGCAGAGGAGTGTGTTCAAATGTCAAAGCTGGGTGGGATTTCCAGAAGCTTGCCTTGTCCTCCTTTTCGTAGTCTTTCCTTCCATAAACGTTTTATAGTCCTCTCTTTTTCTTTTCTTTTCTTTCATGCAGTTGCACCCTGAGTTGAGTACCCTAATTGGCTGTCGTTTTTCTATATGATCTCTGGCTGTTCCTGTGTCCTCAGACACCGAGATGGTATGGATAACCTTTCAGACCTCAAAGTGCATGTGAAGAAGGAAAGTTAATTTGTTGCTTTATAAATGATTGAATTAATGGCTTCATTACTTCTTCCTCACTAGGCCACAATGTTATATGCCCTTCTGTCTCAGCAAACTGGAAAAATCAGCTAAATGTTTAGCAAGACAGTAATTGATAACATTATGGTAATTTTTCCCCTGTTAATGGGCACTAAAAATTTATTTTCATTTTTATAACTTGGAAATGGTATCTGCCTGCCTGCCAGTAATATGATGTTGAAGAGGAGTGCGATTCAGAGGCTTTTAGAAAAGTCTTAGTTTATTTTTTAAAAATTCTTTACTTTTAACATGGACATGATAATTTTGGATTTCTCTGAATAGGAAGATAGTGACGGCCAGGCCAGTAGTGGGCTACTGCTATTTGTGCAACAGAGGAAATTGTGCATGCTCAACAGGACTCTGTTGTAGCAGAGTGTTGGCAATCAAAGGCATCTATCTAATGTGTACCAGATCTTCTGTTACAAAACTGTTAAATTCAGACCTCGAGAGGCACACTTACGGTTAATAGTGTGTTATTTAAAAAATGGCTACTGGTATAAGCAAAATGAATATAAACAAATTGGTGCCCTAAATAGTGTGTTTCAATCGTTGCATCCATTTCCTAATTTTTTTTTTTTTAAATTTTCATTTCTCAGAGGGCTAGATTAAAGGAAAGAAGAAGAAAAAAAAGACGATTACATTTCAGATCTGCTGTCTAAAAGGAAAGAACTTCTGTGCATGCATTTGGGAAGGACTATTCCAAATCCTGGAAAAGGAATTACCATTTTGGAGATACTGACACTTAACTATTTTTAGAAAGCAGACATCCTGCACATGGAAAAGTATGTGAAACTGCATTTAGCGTGAAGCCATGTAAACCATAAAATCTTACAGGCTCCTAATTTCAAGATGAAGAGAGTTAAATTATAGATTCTAATAGTATCTATAAATACATTATCACTCTCTGAAATCTTTCTGTTTGCCTTTGTTCCCTGTGCCTTCCTCTGCAACTTCTTTCCTTTCTACTATCCAAATACTCTCTATTCTTCAGAATGCACTTACTCTTTTTACATGTGCTAATAATATGGACACAGTGCCTTAGGCCTCAAATTTACAACCCAGTCATTTCAAGATCTCATTGAAGGTTTACCCTTTTTTGTTTTAAAAGTTCCCATGGACTTAGTTACACAAGGTCTCTTCAAAACCCTTTTTCTCTGCCTCCCTTGAGACTCTCTTCCCCCAATATAATATTGGCCCTGTTTCCATTGTTAACAACATTTAACCATTTTTAGGATGAATGAAGTTTATATATAAGAAAAGTGTTTAAATTTGCTCTCAAATGTAATTAAAATCTGAATTTTTGCTATTTTAAATAGCATCCCCTCATATTTATTTCTCTAAATACCTTAGTTTTGACTTTTTTCATAAGTAGTTTCTGACTCACCACTCTGCTATACTACCTCTGTATGGTTCTTAATTCCTGTTGCAAAATGATCAGCATAGACACAGATTTATTCTTCTGTCGTGTGCCTGACATGGGAAGAAGGAGAGAGGAGGAGGATGAGGGGTGAGACCAAAGAACAACTTACTCTGAAATGAGATTTGGCTTCACTGTGGAATAGCCTATGCGTGATAATATTTGTGATCCTTTTTGGTTTTATAAGGCTGATATTATTATACTTTTATTATTATACATCTCTGTTCTATGTTGTTCTGAGACAAAGGTTTCCTGTTGTTGAACTGAAAAGCCCTATCTTGAGAAAATAAGAGGCAGCAAAAACGTTGTCATTCTTCAGAGAAGCGTGTTCCATTAGCATGTGTCTTCCAATTTCAGCCTAAGTATTCTGTTGTGTTAGTGCCTAAGCAAAACTCTGGCTCTGATTTGGGGGTTCAGAATGAAAATTAAATCTCTGTAATGTAAATGTGCTTCTTGAAGCTACTTCTAAGGCTCCTGCCATAAAACCTAATTATATCTAATTTTAAGTCTCCAAGTAAAATCTTTTAGTCTTCAAAGTTTTTAAACATCAAAAACTGTTTAATTCTCCCTAAGGCACAGTCTCCAGAAAGTATTTCTGATATAAACAATATAACTGTGCATGTGAAAGTTCACAGAAGTCACTGTGGCACTCACTTCACAGGGCAGCTTTGAACTGAAAGCCCGAGTCTGTCTGCAGGAGTACTTAGCTGCAAGCCTTTGCCAATAAACAAAGTTGAGATGATTGTTGAGTCTGATAATCCCAAGATGGCCCTGCCTTCAAGCCTCCACCTGACTACTGTGCCTGGCCAAACAGCTACCCTGGGTTGTGGTTTGCTCCATGGCGATTAGCTGATGGCCATTGGTCTCCCATCCTAACTGGAAAGGTGTATTCTGCAAGAAGAGCTGGGATTCGTAGACCTTGTTGCTTGTCACCATCAGAGCATGCAGCTGAGCTACAGCTGGCCTGTGTCCTGCCATTCTGTATTTGTGGAGCCGTTTCTCAGGACATACTAGGTCTTACCTCTGGCTTGCTGCCACAGGGAGTGTGAATGCATACTGAGAGTCTTTCTCTCAATTTTAGTGGGTTCTGAGTCAGGGCTGTGAAGTGTCTCATTGTCTTAGAATGTCTGCATTTTTAACATTTTAAGTATATGCATGATACTACACTGGACTTTAGTCAGAAGTTACTGCTAAGACAGTGAGAAGTAAAAGTAGCAATGCTATGACTAGCCTATTGCTATAAAGGTCAGTGAAAAAATTTAATAGCAAAGGAGATACATATACATATGTATTTGGTGGTGCATACTGGTAATTTTCATTAGCACTGAAATGGGATGTTCAGAGAAATAAGACAAAACTAGTATAAACGCCAGAACAATCAAATAGAATATGTATACCATGCACCATCCCCTTCCAAAGTACAGCATCTTTGTGTTTTAACTGCAGTACTCTTTGAAAGAATGAGAACCAATGCAGAGATCATCTGAGATTCGCTGTGTAAAAGTGTATTACCGTAAAAGGGATCATCCATGTCACAGAGAAGCAGTCTCAGAAATAATACAAGAGACTAAATTTGAATATTTGCCCCATTTTTATCTTGACAAAATGTTTTTACCTTTTGAACCTGGTGTTTATTTATTTTGTCTGTGTGTTCCTATCTTCTTGGGTTTTGATAAACCTCCAGCATGGGAGAGTGAGAAATTAATGTGTTTCACTTGATCTTCTCCCTGAGGTCACAACTGAGGGAACAATAAAATTCTTAGGCAAAAATGAATTTCATTAAAATGGAACCTAGTTAACCTATTGCAAGTTATTATTTCTAATATCTGCCTTGGTGTGATTTCATGAGTTTTGCCTGTGTGTGCTGTTTGATATAGGGATGGAGAACTGAGAAAATATAAAATATTAGTACTGTATCATTAGGACTTATTTAAGACATAATAGAAATTACTGTGGGGGAAGGGACTAGAAGTGAAAATAGAACAGTGCCCTGGATTTTCTCATATAATTGTGTTATTTGGTATTTGCTTGCCCTGGGTGAGAGTTCATAAAAAGGTGGAAGGACAAAGAATTTGTGTCTGTGCGCATAGAAGATTACTAGCAAGAGTGTTTGACTGGTGACTGCCTTTACATACACTAACGTTCATGTTGCCATGTTAGTCAATTTTTGCCCTCTTAGGAGTGGAAAAAGATTTTTTTTCTGATTAAATTTCCAGAAATATGAGAAAATTATGTAAAAAAAAAAGTAGTTATTCCTGTTTTGTCTACTGTAGAATTTTCTCCTTTTGTTGACAAGCATAAGGAATGGATGCTCAATTTGCACCTAAGTTCTATTCGCAATACTTAGAGCAGTTTTGCACTTGTGCCTGATGCTTATTGTTAATAAATGCTTTTCTCTACTGTGTAAAAAAAACCCCATACTGAATGGCATTTTCTTCCATATGCAACTGTACTTTGTTCTTTGTTTGCCTGCACAAAATGTGACTCATGGTGCCTATCTTCACTTGAATGCTGCACTGTGATCTGCAGAAATTGCAAAACTTAATCACTTTTACATTTTTGCTTTGTTTTTAATATTCACCAAAATATGCCAGAGCACATAAAATCCAATGTAGAGTTTGGTGTGAAGAGCTCAAAAGGAGTACACAGGTGCTGCTTGCCCAACATGCGGTATATTTAAAGTCAAATCTGTTGTAAGTGATACTTTTATAAACCAGAGCCTTTGAAAAGTAGAATTGTCTTTAAAACAACCACATGGCTGTACATAATAAACTGTGGTAGGGCTCAGTACTTTTATTAGCTAATTAAACATTTGCTGTTTTGAGAGAAATGCTTTTGGAACCAACACACATGCACACACCTGAATTTATAACAAAATTCATTCTGTATTTCTACCATATGGAAAGGAAGCACATCTGGGAGTGGGTGGGAGAATGTGAAAAGAAGCTTTTCCAATTGCTTAAAAAAGGAGTTTGAAGTTTATTTTTTGAGTGAAGTGGTTAGTTTAGGAGGGAGCTCAGCAAGTTCTGAGTTAGACAGGTTTTCCCTTTGGTTTACTGAACCTGAAAGAGACACTGATTTATAGGAAACGTGTCTTGCAAGTTCCATTTCTTGGCTTTCCCTAGACACAAGTGTCGTAACATGCACTTCTTACTAAATAAGACCACCATCTGCAAACATCCCCCTGTGGAATTCCTTAGGCATCCTACAGGAAAATGTACTTTTGTGTACATCTTCCTTTAAAATAAAGCTTTATCTCCAGAAGCATCACCTAATCATTTTGCTAAAAACCTTCCTCTTCTTTGTAAAATTCATGAAATAGAAAACAAAATCTGAATAAACGATAACCTGCTGAGCCACTTACATTTACTGTTGTAAATGAAGCTCTAACTTTGTTTTTTATCTCCGACAGACAAACAACAGAAAGGTGAATTTGCCTTAGAGGGCTACACCATCAGAATGAATAATAGCCTTCGGAAGGATGCAAAGAAACATTGCTGTTTTGAAATCTCTGCTCCTGATAAGCGCATTTATCAGGTTGGACTTTTTTATGTTGACTTGAAATTAAATTGATAAAGCCGTTACAATTCCAGTTACTGAATTAACATTTCAGTAAAACAACCTTCACTGACACAGTAATGAAAAAAGGAAACCCTCACTTGCTTATATTGTATATTCATATATTAGGAAAAAAAATCTGATTAAACGTATGTATGTACATGTTAAAATATTATCTTTTTGGTCAAGAATGAGGTAATCTATCATCTTTATCTATTGGTCATTTCAATATTAGCATTTTAATATCTATTGTATAGTGTGTCTGTGTGATTTTTTGGAGGAATTAAATAGTAAAAAAAAAGTTAAAATATGTATCAATGTTAAATACATATTGTACTGGTCATGACTTTTAAAGAAAAATCTACGTAAAGGCACATATCAGCTGTGCAATTCAGAGATCTATCAGCTAGACATCAATATAGAATGTAAGTTTAATAAGTTTTAAATATCTGAGATTGCGGTTGAAAGCCAGTTAATTAAGCTGTCAGGTAGTGTGTTGGAGTCTGACAAGAACATTTTTAAGAAAACTGTACCCAGCAGTCTAAAGAAATTCATGGGTGTCTTCTAATTGTCAAGGGCAAATTTTGTTCATCAGTTCTGGCTTTGACATTGATGAAGAGAAGCAGCTTTTTTCTGCACAGCTGCCAGCTGCTGATCAGAGTTTCAAATCCATCATCCTCTCCTTCAATTACGTAAATTTGTCAAAATTAGCTGTACATTATAAGAAGCATCCTTGCAAGAAAAGTACCAGAAAACATGAAAAGAATTACTAATGGTTTCTTGAGGAAGTGATGAGAATGCTACAGTCCCTCTTTTTTATTGCTAATGAAATTGTAGTTGGGTTTACTGTCATTACTGCTTGTAGTTATTAATAAATGTTTAATAGTTTACAGCTGCCACTCCCAAAGAAGCAGAGGAATGGGTACAGCAAATCCAATTTGTAATTCAAGGTAAGCCAGCCAGTAGAGCAGTAGCCTTTATTGCCAGTAGTGCTTAGTGATGGTAGTTCTGGTTGTTAACTTCTCTGTCATGTTAGTACATGTAGTATTCCCACATGTGAAAGTTTGGAATAGCAAGTCCTAGTTTTCAGTTGTGTTGTAGCTTTTATATGACTTTTCTAATTTTGCAAGATTTTTTCTTTTTTCCAAGAATACTAGAAATATTAGAGAACTTGAAGGCTCTCCTTTTATAAGCTCCTTTACATAAACTGTCCCTTATCCCTTGAACAGTAGAAGAAAATAAGCAGAATATACTGTAAGGAGCAGGTCATAGAAGAATTGTTTTCATTTTGCATAAATATCTGCTTAGGCCTTCTTTTCTACTAGGTGTTAACTTTTTAAATTGCTGCCACATAGATACAAGATTTAGTACTATTCCTGAGGAAGAATACGATGATGTTGGACAAGAGAACAGTGAACTTACAGATGATAGCATTTATGAAGAACTTAAAGGTACTGTTGAAATTTTTTACTATGTGACTTGTGATCACTTTGTCTTCTCTGCTTCTAGTTTGATAACTCTGAGTTGCTTAAAGTAAATAAGTAAAGCAACACAATTAGATACTTTCAGATTTTAGATTTTGCTATGACATTGAGAAAAGAATGTCTTCAGTTGTGAGTGAGAACAATTCAGGTTTTTTTAGCAGGAGCATCAAAATAGTGCAGAATGTGTAAAAGTGAACTCAGGGGACTTTTGGCTCATTAACATTTTCTGGTATGCAATTTTTTTTAATTAAAGAATTGACTTGCCTTACAGCTTTTCCCAGCAACTTGCCCATTATTTTTTCTTTATTCTTTTTGGCATTTGTATTCAGCAAAAGTTTATTATCACTCTAAATGTTACTAGAAGTTTCCATCTTCTTCCTAATATATGATATTATAATCCTTCAAGAAAGCATTGTGTGTGTTTGAAAGGGCTCTGGAAATGAACTGTAAAAAAAGCAACATGAGTATTGACACTGTTTTGTTTTATATCTTCAAGCATGACTATAATTGTACAGAAACTTTTTTGCTGTGGACTTTTTAATATGGTCAAATGATTATGACTAAATGTCCACATGTATGTTTCAGGGGGCAAAACAAAAGAAAAAGAGCTTGTGAAAGTTCTTGGAGTTGAGTGTAAACATTCAAGTACCAGGGGAAAGTTGGTAATTTTTTATTATATTTTGAGAAACTATGAAAAAAAATTAATTATCATTAGTTAACAAATGATATTTTAAAGTGATGTGACAATTAATAATCACTTTGTATGAAATAATGTTCTGCATGCCTTGCTGTTTGGAGCACTGCAATTACCAGCAATAACTGGAGAGGAAAAATTAGTTTTGTCATGTGATGCTGAGTAACTTCCTGTATCTATTAGGGTGAATTTTTTGACCATTGGGGAAAGGAACATTTTACCCTATGTCATGCTTTTCATTTTAAGGTTGTTTCAGTGGAAGAAAACAACAAGGGAGCAGAGAACATAAGTGTCTCATGAAAATGATTATCATAAAATTCTAAAATTGTAACAGCACCCAATTCTTTAAGAGCTAGGAGGTTTTTTGTATTTTACGTAGACTACTTCAACACAGAATGCATGTTCTGCTGACATGATGTGCAGTGTGTTACACATGCTGAAAAACTCTTCTGCAGTGAATATAAAAACTACACTACAGGGCTTAATCTTATAACTAGAACGTACAGCCAAACCATATTACAGTGTTTTTTGGATGCTCAAGTTCTTACAGAAGATGATCTTATATGCTTGCTTATGTTTTTGTTAAAGAGGCTCTAGATATATTCTGGCATAAATTACTTTTTTTTTCGAGCTTCACTTACCTTACCTGTTACTTGAATCTCAAACACTAAGTAGATCTGGAGCAGTAATACATACAATATTGGGAGAGAGCCATTAGTTAATATATACTTTGAATTCTTTGCTCTGAGCTCTGTCTTCAGATTTGCTGCCTTGGTGTGATTCTGCAACAGTTTGAGTATTTTCACTTTTGTCCCATTTTTATGTCAGTTTTCCAGAAGCTGTTGTCCCATAATGTGGCTAGTAAACCTGAAATGCAACGTCACAAAGAAGGGATAGTTCAAGGAATCTAGTTTCAGTTTTTAGTTAAATTAATTTATTTCCCCATGGTCTTGGAGTGGTGCTTCGTTTTCATGCTATCAAGTAGGGATTGTCTTTCTTTATGCTATTTCTATCTCATCTATTTGAATTGTAAACTTTTACAGTGGAGCTCTTAATTTTGACTCTGATGTGTTGATGTAACTAAGTAAAAATGAAACATAAGTTTGCAATAGATTTTAGATGATTCTTTAATCTTTTTATTTTCCACAACTGTGCTTTAATAATTATATGCTTAAATGGAATTACAGACTTATGGCTCCAGTGCCTTAGAGCAGTCTTTCTCTTTTTAATCCATGTCATATTGAATAGTGTTAGGTGAAATGCTACTTGACAAAACTCTCAGGAGCTGGCCTTATATGTTTCTTGTGTAGCTGTTCATCTAAACTTGATGGTAAAAGAGCACACTCCAGTTTGGTCTAGTCTCCTTTCATTAGGCCTAATTGGTTGCATTTAATTACAGTTGGCTGTCCTTTCTATTTTCCCAGGTAAGTGAATTACTCTTTTTTCCTTTCATGGCCAAAGGGTGGAGCATCATTATCCCTGCTGTTACCTGGCCTAATAATATAGAACAAATAAGGAATTCAGAATGCCTGTTAAGAAAACAGAAAAAAATTATTTGTACAGCTGCAAAGCTATGGTAAGCTCTGGAATGCAGAAGGCAAATATGCTAGATCCTTGTGAAGAGGGAGGAGAAATTAATCTGCACTTTGTTTTTGTCCTCAAAACATTTTCATATCAGAGGCTTCTAATACTCTGTTTTCACAGATCTACTAGCTTTATAAATACTGAATTTCAGGTACACAGATCATTGTACCTTATTATTTATTTGGCTATACTTTGCATATTCTCAAGTAAGTAAAATTTTGCATTTCTGTAGTTCTCCGGTGGCTTTTATGTCAGCATTTCAGAAGAAACTTAAGCCAGTTCATTTAGTAATATTGGGTTTGGTATTTGAATAAAGAGTGTTTGGATTAAAAAGAGGATGTGGAAATTTTTGTGCAAGTTTGAAAACTGGGAAATTTGGAGAACTGTTGCAGTATTCATGACTAACTGATGCTGTATTCTCTAGCTATCTCATTGCTTAGCTATTTTTTTTTCCTGCTTCTGACAGGAGACTGTAGATGAATTTTCCAGGCTGAAGCTGGACAGCTTCAAACCAGTGTCTAGAATGGTAATAGTCTATTAGCCTATTAAAAGCATAGATTTCAGTTAGTTGGAGGGTGTACAAAGAGATGTGAGAAATTTAGTCTTTTGATTTGTTAAGTCATTTTCTTCTTTAATAGCACATACAAATTCATATTTACCATAGAAGCACCATTTTCCCGGTTCTCAGTATTAGTGTTGTACCGTGGTTATTCAGGTAAAATCAAAAACATCCGAACTGCCAAAGAATTACCAACTTGTAAAACTTCCCTGGCAAGATTCTTCAGGAAAAGAAATCTCTATACTGTCTTCAGCAAACTGGGCTTTAGTATTTTTGATGTTTAATAAAATCACAGATGAAAACTTGGCTAAGGAAAATTAAAAATACTGTCAGTAAAGGCCCATTTTTTCTTAATTAGCTATTTATTTTCTACCTTAGTACACTTTGTATGATTTTGCAGTTCACACCTGAATGTTATAAGCTGTAACATAAAACAACCTCTGAAACTGTAGTATTAAATAACTCTGTGTGTGGGTAGAGCTACCTAAATGCACAGAGTTTCTAGTTTAGTGGTGTTTTTAACAATGGACTTGTCCTTGTCATAAAAGAGAACACGTGCCAGCTTTAAAGTTGTTACCATCTGTTACAGACCTTGAAGACAGAATTTTTTTATTAACTTGAGGTTTCAGGGACATAATTTTGAGGGCCTTTGGTATTGTCTTCTGTAGTGTCATGTCTTTGTGGAGCACATACCCAAAACTGCAGTGCTAATTATTGCCTGCCACCTTAATGCTTTCTACAGCCTCAATTCAGTTTTTGTACTGTATACCACATTCTTGCGCAATAGGAGAAAATAAGTGTTAATCTGAGATAACATACTTAAATTTCAATCTTGTGTTGGCTTTTTTCTTCTGTTCTTCTCCTCATAAACTTGCATTATAGCAGTAGTTTCCAAGGTATACAGTATAATTTCCATTAAAATTATTCTAAAGATAAGTTTTGGTTCTTATTTTAATGGTGCTTATTTGGTGCATGGAGGTAGTCCTGAAGCAATGTAATGTGACACAAGATTTGTGACACAAGACTGTGGCTTTGTGCCATCGTGCCATCCCTTCTCAGCCTGTCCATAGCAAAAAGTACTTCTGGGTGAGAGAAGATAAGCACGGTGAAATTCAGTGCTGTGGTGATCTCCAGGCAGTACAATTTGCATCAGTTCTTAGTTTTCTGTAAATTAAATTTGAGGATTGATTCAGTCTCTGATCGGGTGAAGGATGAAGGGAATGGAAGGTTTGCTTTTGTCTTTTGATTCCTGCTGTCAATCCTCTGCCAGTTTGGTCAAGCCCAGGTATCTGGCCAGTAACTCTGTTTTGCGGTGTAATTGGAAGCTTAGGTTGGGTAACTCTGTAACTGAGGTAAAGCCCAGGCAAAGGTAGAAAATGTCTTAACTTTCATGCTATAAGAAGTGTGCTGTGCAAAATACACTTTGTTTGCTTATTTTAAACAAATTATTTTAAATAGTTTTAAAATTATGTTGATGTTTCAGAACTGATTTCTCACAGTTAATATGAACGTAAAGAGTGATCATCCTGTTTCTTTCTTATGGTTGTTGTTTTAAGCAGCTTTGTTGCTTTATTTTTTTCTAACAGTAAACCCTGGCAGTTAGGAAGCATAACTTAATATCCTCATTCTCGCTTCTTTCTGGACTGCTTGAGTTTTGAAGAAGCAAATTGTTTTTATGATGTTATATTCCGTTCCTGAGCATGAAGATGGGGGAAAAAAAGAACATATGTCTGACTTACCTCTTTTTGGGAAGCAGGAATTAATGATTACGTAGTGGAGTTTGAGTGTAAGTTTGATGTGTCACTCATGAGCACCAACTCATGGCAAATATTTGTGTTCTCAAAATGTAATGTCAAAAATACTGACTTTTTGACACTAGAAGTGAAGATTTCACAGCACCGTGTTAATGAAAATTCTTTTTTCAGGACATCTTTGCTTATTTTAGAGTTTTCAATGCATCACAGTCCAGGTATCTGGGCTCAACACAGTGTTTGGTCTCAGGCAGTCCCAGTTGTGCATTACAGCTGTATCTCAGTTCCTAAAACCAGTAGCCTAAAAGGAAGATATTATTAATTGGTCATTACAAACAAGAGAAGTAGGTTTAAGTCAGCAGAGACGGGGTTGATTATG